GCATCATAGCTTAACTCTTTCAATTTGATTGCATATTTGTCAAATTCTCAGTGAATGGAAGGTAGAACTTTCATATAGAGATGTGATTTTCAATGGTATTCACTATAAGAATGCTGCAGACATTTTTCAATTGATTGTAAGTGTGAAGCAAATTGTTGAACTGTCTGATCTTTTTGTTGCTCTGTTTTTCAGTACTGTCTATCAGTATCTTGAAAACTTCTATCTGAATCAGTGACTTGACATTGCATTCAACTAACAAATTCTTCCCATGGTGGCAAAGTCTGCATATCATGTGTATGTTGATATCAATGTTGTTGCATCTTGACATTGAAATGAGTAATGACTTCAATGATCTTTTGATGATTGTGTTTGTTGTAGTAATCAAGATCACTGGCATGGAAAGTGATAGCAGCTGTAATAAAGTTTTCAAATTCTTTCATACTTTGATCTCAGAACTTTTTCACATCTCTTCAAGAAGAGTGATCACTCATACTGAGATCTTGAAGTTCTAATTGCCAAAGTGGTACCCAACTATATCTCCCACTGACAGTAGTCACAGTGCTTTTCACTAAGATGTTGAATGCTTGTAGTGTGGCTTTCAGTGGTCTGAGAATACTTGTGACATTATCACAGTTATCATTCACACTAGTTGCATCTCTACTGTGGTTCAGATATGCTTCTAGCATATTTCAGATGATCAGAATTGTTTTATTCAATTCTTGTAGTAAAGTGTCACACTGCTGTTGAAGTTTTCACAATTCTTTCTCAGTCTGTAATTTTTTGATTCTTCTGATCACAGCTATCTTCTCAGTCTCAATTGCACTGAGATCTTCAGAAGAGATATCCTCTTTCAAACTATATTCAGAGTTCAATTTCATAGAGAAAGATGATGCTTGTTGCACACTTTCAGTGACAGAAGTGTGCATTTCACAGTTTTCTTTCATGATGTTTGCTGCTTCAGATTTGATGATAGCATGAGTACAGTGAATGCTGTGGGTAGAGGCCATGACTATTACTCAACAGACTGTCTCTTGAAGATTGAGTGATTAGAAACTGTGAGGTGTAGTGACAGTGTGAAGAGTAACAGTAGAAGATAGTTTATAGTGTAACAGAGATAATAGTAATATATTGTAGAGTGTAATATAGTAGTGTAATGTAGTGTAGCTAATTGCTAAGAAAGAAAAGAAAGAGAAAGAAGATGTGTGAAATACATACATCAATATATATATACATATAGAAATAGTGGTAGCGAGAGTATAATGGAAAGAGGTAAGAATAAGCGAAGATAATAAGAAAATAATAAACAAGTGCATTACAGATAATCTTCATTGCAGCTTTTTGTTGTTTATATGATTTAATCTTATGATTATCAACTGCTTCCACTACTTTTGATTTATCTTCTGCCTTTGAGAAATATTTTGATGCTCAGATATGAAATATGAAGTTCACATTTATATCAGAATTCACTAACATCCACATCATCAATCATTTCATTTCTGTCAGCATTCATGTATTCATCATCAATAATCATTTATCTTATAGTCTAGTTGTTTGTATTCTCAATGCAGCAGCTGCTTCTACAATTGAAATTGTTGATTTTTTGCTTATTGAACTTGATTGTGCTTTTCAGAGTGTAACATTCAACAATTATTTGCAATATAACCCTTTTTATGACAGTGAGAACACTTCTTTATTCAGTTATATTTATCTTTTTTGATTTATTCAGTTGAATCTATTTGTTTCTCTCATTTTCTCTTATTTCAATGATTGCTAGATTTATCAGAACAATGCTGATTCTCTACAAATATTGCAGATCTTTCTTTGTGAATAGTATATCATTGCTCTGATATATTTTTCTTGAGAGTCTGTAGAGTTCAAAGCAACTCTTTGTAGTTCTGAGGTTCTTGATTTTGACAGTCAAATTCTGTGTATAATATCTTCAATGTCTTACTACACAAGTTATCCATTCTTTGTTCTTTGCTATATGAGGGTAAGTAGTACTCTCAGTCTTCAAAATATTTAGAGAAATCACATATTGATTGTCATTCTTGTTGCTTTGTATTTTGAAACTTTTGATTTGTCAATCAGTGTTGATTCTGTGGATCATTAATTTGCATTTCTAGATGTGATAGTATATCATCAAAAGTCAACAGTGTTGTTTCTTCATATCTTTCATACAATGATACAAAATTCAATCATTTCTGCTTAACATGGATGTCAAGATAGAGTTTAGCATCATTTATCTTGTATTTCTTCTTTCAATAATATCAGTAATGATGTGTAAAGAGAGTCAATATGTGATGTTTATAGTTCTTGAATTCTAATATATTTTTTTCTCAATAATAGTTCTTAATCTCTAATCTCAGTGGTGTTTCATTATCATCATTTATATCATTCACAGATCAATTTTGTGGTGATTCTGTGATGATATTCTGAATTAATTAAGACTCAATGAGAGTATCTTCATGAATCTGCACTTTCAACTTGTTGAGTTGCTGTTGTGCATGCAGAATAGCTAATTGCTGCTCTCATTCATGAATTTGATCATTCAACTGTTGCAAACATGCATTGTGATCATTGAAGATGATAGAGAATTCAGATTGATTTTCAAGAAATTTTATATGTATTGAGATCATCTTACATGTTTCAACTAATGTTGCATGTTTTAACTAATGTTGTGTGCTTTATTGTAGATGTGTGTAACAACAGATCACTCAAATAAAGTTTAGAGTGATTAGAATTGTAAGAGATGATTGTAGATATAATTATGAAAGTAGTGTGAAGTACATATATAGAATGTTAAGAAGGTAGCAATCTCTATTATTCAAAGCTAATCACTGATCTTCTAATATCTACAGATATCAGTGAGTATTATATAGATGATCACCACACACTACAGCCATCTATAATGCTGTGTGCTATATTTCTTCTCATTAATTCTGATGTGTTCTGTGTTCTTCTATCGTCACATAGCTATTTTCTAATATAGATATCTCTGTTGCGCCTATTACAACCACAGTAATGTAGAAGAATAACAGATATCTCATCAGATTATATCACATTCTTCCAGTTCTCTAAGATTCAATACTCACATTCAAGACATCACTGTAATCTTTCCAATCTCATTCTTGCAGTAAGATCTGGTTTTTGTGTTGGCTTGATCTTATGAAAGTCAGCTTTCTTCAGAATCTGTTATATTGTTGTTGAAGATATATCAATTCTCTTCTGACTGAGTTCATCTGCTATATCAGCACAGAATTTCTCTCTTCTATATTGATCACAGTGTATCTTGACAAGAATATGTTCTTGAGCTGACTGTTGTTTTGTGGATTGTTCAGAGTGAGGAGCATCTTTTAATCAGTCATCACAGATATAAAGATAGAGAAGATCTGAATTAAAGCCACAATCTTGAGCAGTTCTATAGATATGATTGATGATTTGAATAGATAGCTGAGTGAAATTGCTGATTTCTTTTGTAGTTTTACCATCAAAAGACTTCAGAGCTACTATCACAGCATGGATTGAGATATCTGTATTGAGAGCTATATTGAAATAAAAGAGAAGATAAATTTGATTCATCAATCTCTGAGAAATTATCTGCTATTTAAAATGAGAGGTAATTGCTTCTCATTAGTGGTATCTATAATATTTCAACTAGTATATCTGTGGCGTAGATAGTAGCTTGGCTGAACAAAACTTTTGAAACTGACCTTCATAGATATATAAGAATCACAACATCTTAGAATCCCACACTATACTGAATTCATCTAGACTATATACATCATGTTGAACATTGCTCCATTCTGCAGTGGCAGTTATCAATAGAAATGAGCTAAGAAAGAGTATCTCTAATATTCATCAAGATGTGATAATATCCTTTTGAAGAAGATGGGATTCGAACCCACTACCTTCTTGTCTCAGCAGTGGTGGCCCCAACACCAAGTGCCTACTTGAGAAAGCATTCCATGAACAGCACTTACCACTACGCCATCCACCCCCCCAAGAAAAGGGTTTGCGTGAAGTTCATGATTAATTAGTTAACTAGTAAGTCACCTAAGTTACCATAAATGGGAATAGCCGGCTTTCCTCAAAATGGCTTGAGGCGTATAAAGCCAGCTCCTCCCACTTTGCTTCATCTTCCCTTTTCTCCTCACAAAGACCACCCCAGCTTTGCAAACCATCAGATGCTACATTTTTTATCATGAGTACATGGACAACTTGAACTCATAAGATCGAGGGGTCAGAGGCCGGCCCAGTGGACAGCAGAGGCAGAAATTATTCCTGCACATAGAAGAGCCATGAAAGGCCATATTTTGGGCATTCAGATGGCTTCATTTCTAAAACTTTCAAACTATGTTTTCTAGATTGTTGAAATTTCCTTTGTTTGTGTTCTTTTATATATTTAATTTCTTGCTAGACTTCTTGGCAGTTGCTCCTTGCATCAAACTAGGTATAGAGAATTTGCAGAAGAGGTGGCTCAAGGCCATCAGAGGCAGCTGACGCTCATTATATAGAGCCAGAGCCATGTTGAAATTAGGCGGATGGGAAGAGTGAGGAGGGTGATGTAAAAGAAGGCTGAAGATTGAGAGGAGCTGTTTCTGATGGCCTTGAAGAAAAAGAACCACAGCCATGGAAGTGACCAGAACATCAGCAGGAGAGAGCAGGCGCGCGCAAAATGCCAGATCATTGGCCCCACCACGAGCTCATGTGTGCACAGTGATTGGGGCGTGGCGGTTGGGGCGGCGGGCCGTGGATGCAGGGCGATGCGCTGGACAAGGCCGAAAATGGCGCGAAAACAGGCCCAAAGCAGCTGCCGCGGAGCAAGAACGAAATTAACAGTCAGTAAAAATTGGATAGACATTTATTAAATTACGAAAAAGTTACATATATACATCATGCCAAGGAAATTCTTGTACTTTTCATAATACTCAAGAAGGGAGAAAAGGGGGAAAGAAGGATTTTTTTTAAAAAAAAAAAATATTTAAAAAAAAGATGAATACTGACAAGAGCGAGACTCGAACTCACGCGGGTTTCCCCATACCGGATCAGGAAGTTCTCCCAAAGAGGGAACTTTCCAAGTGTTCACGTGACAGCTTGAACGGTACGCCTTAACCACTCGGCCATCTTGTCATAAATTTTATTGGGCAGGGGCGCAAACAATACGGTATTTCTTTGCAATCGGCAGCGGCCGATGAAAAATTTCTGGACTTGCTGTGGTAACTTTTTTTGTCAAGCTTGATAAAGGGAAAGACGGCAGCACGTATAAATATATGCTTTTGAAGGGATCTTGGTGACGTCGATCCCTCGACAGACCGGAAGCAAAAATTGCTACAACCACACAAACACACACACACACACGGCCCCCGCATTCGAAACATACTTGCTCAATCATAAAAACCACAGGAGGGAAGGGAGGGAAACCAGCGGTGCAAGCTTATTCAAGATGCAAAACAGCTAGCTATACAGCAAACCTCTCCGGCAAGAGAGAGGGGAGATGAGCTTGATCCCATGACGCTCCACCCAACTTATCGCAAAACATAGTCAGCGGCTTTCTCACGAGGAATGGTAGCTTCCCAGGCACTTGAAAAGTCCAATATTCTCTAGCTTAGAAATTTGGAAAATAAAACTATGCAACAATTTTTTGGAGGAATGATGGATAGTATCGGCGAAGTGGCTCTGGATGCGGGCCTCATATTCTGATCACGGGTCGCTTGTAGCAAGAGAAATAGTAAGGTTGGCGGTGGGAGGAGATTGACGATTAGTTTCCGGAAAGGGTGTCAATGATGCTGCCTAGGATCTTGCCATTGATTCCGCAGAGTCTAAGTAGCGAGACATTGAGACGATGCCAACCTGGGAGACTTAAGTTGTGGGGTCGATAGTTGGAGAGAGGAGGCTCTACCAGCAGGACACATCAACGAGCCATCTGTTGCTGAACCAATAGAGATCAGTGCGTAGATAGCGGGAACAGCGGCCACCAGTACAGATAAAAACCCCGAGGGTCTTTGTTTGTACAGTACAAAAAGTGATATGGGAAGTTCGTTTAGAACCTTCCAACGTAGCAACAATGACTAAATAGAAAGTATTATCCACAGGCATTATGGCCGCCATTGGAATGACATAGATGGACGGTTCTTTGGGCATAGATAAGCTGTGTTTGTGGTGCTAAATAAAGACCATCCTGGTGACATGTCTGATTGTAAGTGGAATCTCAATTTCCCCGAGACTCTGCCCCGATCAAACCAATATAACTTGGGCGAGATATGTCTATTATTGTGAATACCAAACTATTAGCGAATGGTATCCCTGAGCTCTGATTTTTATTTTCGAGGGGACGATGTAATATATATATTTATAGTTCTGTCATGGGGAGCTCAAACCATTTTGGATATTTTATCGTTTTTGACAATTTTGGCACCCTTGCGAGGCACTGGCCGCGAAGAACCATAATCCCAAATGCGGCGTCTAGACCAATGCATGGGTGTGCAGAGCCTCTGGATTGAGTATATCCGCCGGCCAGAATATTCACACGCCTTAGTAGTAACGTGTATCGGCGTTGACGGCCAGTCGCCCGGGCCCCAAGTCCATCCGCCCGCTTCAAAATGTCGCTCGGGGTGGTTTGGAACACGGCACGCAGGTAAGCACCATTTTTTTTCTCAATCTGTTCGAGGTATGCACCCTCTAGATATCAGTCGTACATCCGCATGCGAGATGAACTTGGAGAGCCTTGTCGGAGGCTGAGGGGCAATGAGCAGACTATGATCCATTCCACGCTCGGAGGAGCAAGATCGCGATGTAGAAGTTCAGCGAAGCCAAAGTAACGGCTGTCGAGAAGAGGGTGCAGATTCAAATACCTCAGGGGATCTCTTCCAGCAGCTTTGTATCAATCTGATGGATATTCTGAATGTTTCTGTATTATTTTCCGCAAGCGGTGGACGCCTTGGGGACCCTTTTACGCCTCTGTATGTGCTCATTGGCTGTTAGTGTTGATTGCCCAAACTCTGGTCTGCATTATTTCTGACGGATCGGCAACTCAAGCATCCTTTCGTTGTTTCAGCGAAGCGACGGAGCCGTCTCTCTCTGGCTCAATACATACTGTACTGCAATGCGCAGTATGCGAGGCTGGAAAAACAGAAGTCTATCTACGGAGTGGTAACTCTCGAATTCAAAGGTTGCTACAGACAAATGACGATTTCTCACCCAGATCAGTCCATACATGTCGCGTGAGGAATTGGTAGGAATTGGTGGGATGGACTTGCTAGTGGTGAACCAATTCCCCCCTGACACTAGCCATTTGAATCACAGAACGCCCAGGCACTATAGAGGCCGGTAAAATTGCGATTTCAAGGCTATCTTTGGGAAAGGAGGGGGAGCGCTGCAAGGGGGGCTTGTTGGTGAGGAACAGCACACCTGGTTCAGCGTCCTGATGGCCCAATTCTGTTAAGAGTGTGCTCTGAACACCACGCTTCGACAAGCACCTTCTGTTCATCACCCTTGGGACCTCCTCGCGTCGTCAGTAAGGCAAATAATAAAATAATATGAGGAATGGCCATCTGCGAATGAAAGATGTTGCATTCATTTTGGCTGGAGAACTCCTCACTTCAAACGATTTCAGGCACATAACTATGTACTGTGCATCCAGCAAACTCTTTTCTGTCTACTTGTCGTTCAACCGACATCCTGCTATATAAATGCTGGAACAGAATTGGAAAGGGTCCAAATGATTTCTCCCATCGTTTGAAACCGCACCAGCATGTCCCATCTATGTGGTTGTTGTACTGTACAACCATCGAGAGATGTGACGAAAAAGGCCCGAGAAATGGGTTCCACGGTGATGCGCGAGCGTCTCTCAGGCAGTTGTACGCACAGGAACAAGGAACGAAAACGAAAACGAAAACGAAAACTGGTTGAATGATTCGTCCCAAGGAACACTCTCAAAGCCTAATTGTATGGTTGCAGCCCTAACTGGTTCGGCATTTCAGGGACGTGAACTTTTTTGCTCAAACTTGGTTCGTTGGGAGGATGCATTCGCAGTCTGGCCAGTGGCCAAGTATGAAACCCAACACACGCTTCAAACTTGCAGCGCGTCAAGCTGGTAAGAGGCGGGATAGATTTTCAAGACCCGTATTCCGTAAGTTGGCGGCCGGTTGCTCTCCTCTTCATTTGCAGGTCGAAAACATGAGCCAGTGCTTGACCAACAAGATCAGATCACCAGTAGCGTGCAATCGCCGGGCACCTCCAGGGCTAGTCGCTGACCATGTATTCTTGCAGCTACTGAACTGCTTCTCGAACGTACTCTCTGTTGAGGTTGAAGCCTTCCTCTCCTCACTTGGTTGAATGAAGATTGACAGCGTAGAATCACGAAGTATGCAGAACTTGCTGGGAAGCCGAAGAAAAGCATCGGCATTTAGTTGGTACTCCGTAGATGATATTATGATTCTTAAATTATTTTTGGACGGATCGCGCGCTGCTTGCTCAGGGATCCGCTCCACTTGGTCCCGCTGGACCGGGCATTTTCGCCCTTTTTTTTAAAAAAAATTAATTTTTTTTTTTTTATGAGGACTATTTGAAATAGGTATTCTTCTTCAAGCCCAGGAACAACAATTGGAAAAGCTTCGAATAAATTCTGATCAAACTGCTCCGTATCGCTGGGGAGGAGTTAATGCCAGGCACTGTCAGCGCAAAATAGCACATAAATCTCACCCGCCAGGATCCTCTTAGCCACAATTTTTGCTTTGTTTTTTTCGCTGCCGCCGCCTTTGCTCGATCCCGCCTAGTCACGATTATTCCCCTTCCTCGCTGCCCGCCCCCGTGAGTGGCTGCTTGTCTCGTTGCAACTTGCCTTCGTCGTTGTCGCTGTCGCTGTCGCTGTCTCTGTCGCTCGCTGCCCAAGTGCCATTCCCATCGAAACCGCATCCACCTCACCCACTGAGAACCAGACGACAATCGCATTCAACCTGCGTTCTGTTCTGTTTTGCTCCTTTCCTGTGGGCCGAATTAATTCGCCTCGCCTCTTCCTTCATCTCCTTCATCTCCTTCATCTCCTTCATCGTCGCGTTTTCATTCGGGGGCGGTTAGTGTGTGGGTGAGTTCTCCCGCCCAACCTCCAGCATTTTGTTGTTGGTGGCTGCATTTTTCCCGTTCCTGTTCCTGTGCCTGACGACTTGGAAGGCTCGCACCAGGCCCATGCCATCCACGCTCCGCGATACAAGTTTTAGAAACCTGACTTCAAGTTTGTGGGATCTTTGACAGGTTTGACACCGAAACGGCGACTTCCTCCCACCCCCTTCTGGTGACAACAACAGGGGGAAACGCTCCATCGATCCACGATGGGATCGACTCAATTTGGCAATTTTCATGTACGGAATCCCTTCTTTTTTTTTTTTTTTTCTTTTTTCTTTTTTCTTTTCTGATTGTTTGTTTCATGCGGTCTCTACCAATTTGTTTCTGGTATGCTAACGACGGCTATTTGGATGTTGCCAGAACCTTTGTCGAGACTCGACTCTCCCAGTTTGCAATGTATGTATTACTTATTGCGCCAGACCGTCCTGCGTCCAATGATCCCGCCATTGTCAAGATAACGCAGCCCTAAGTTAGCAAAGGATGTTACTAACTTAATTATCGACGCGCACAGCTTTTCGTTGCTGATAACCAGCCGCCAAATGGGAAATTCGGCGGATGTGCCCTTAGGGGAATCAATCTGAGTGGTGATAGGAACCTGGCGAACCTAGGTACGACATGGGCGAAAGCCTCAGCGACAAACCTTCCTCCCCCTGAAATTCCTCTAAATAGCTAGCTAGCTGGACACAGAATCTAACGATAAACCTGCACAGGAGCCATCCTCTTTGCCGTGACGGCCCTATTGCTCAGTGCGTTCTTATTATGGAAATCGGAGCGGAAGAAGGCCGCGGTGGGAAGAAGGTACGTTATAACAACGCTCCTCACCGATGCGATGCTAAATGCAGTCCAAATTGGAAATGCACATAGGATATATTCAGGAGAAACTGATCCAGACTCTCCACAATCTTTAGGGAAATTCAATTGTTTTTACTGGGATATATGATAATTCAGCTCTGTGAGATCTTCACCATTGGAGGAATTCCCATCTCTGATAATGTCAGAAAAGTATGCCT